ATATAATCCAAACTCAAATGTAACATCACCAACACAAAGCCCCAAAATAGTTGCTGATCTGCACCAAATACCACACAACCACCTTCCGCCCTTTTGATGGTATATTGCATTTTTGAAAATGTGTCCTTTGACCGACAACGGAGCTATTTTTGCACTGATTGACCCCATAATCCAATCATTGTGAGGAGAGGCCATTCCTTCCTCACCTGTAAAATATGAACTTGTTAGACCTCAGCACTCGATCTAGAGACTATTCACAGATGGACACACACACAGATTACTCAACAGTTGCACCTTGTTGAGGGACAGCTACAATAACAAAAACATCTCATTCATATTGAATCTAAATTTAAATAGAATCTGAATTGCGTGCATCCAGAGGCGAATTTTGGCACCTTGCACTTTCCATACACGGTCCAAACATCAGCCCCAACACACGTCATTTAAAGGGGGAGATGGCAGTCACGTGGTGGCGCCTGCTTCCTGTTTACCGCCTGTTGGACCTCCACACTGGAGTACACAGATTGCAACACCGCGCTGCTCTGCTGGGACTGTCATCCACAACAACATATGCGGCACTGAGATCCTGCCGCCGCGGGATTCACTGCTGTATAACTTGAATCCGTTTACTGTCATGGTCGCGCCGAATACGGAGACATGAAGCCGTGACATTGAGGAAACGTGAGAAGGCCGGGGAAGGATCCTCGGGGTTTCCTGACTCCTGCTGACCGGAGTTCGGTTAGCTGGTGCGGTAGGAGACGGGCGGCAGTTCAACACATGCCAGAAACGCAAATATTCGTAATGTGGAGGACAACAGCGGTTTGAATTTGTCTCGGATGAGTATACGAGGGGTCTGAGTTTGTGGAAAACGTACACCGTGGGAGCTAGCCTGATAAGCGAGTCGTGCTAACTCCGTGAGCTAGCTAGCAGCGGCCGCGGCGGTGGTGTGCGAGTGGCCGGCTGTGCGGGCTGGCTGTCGGCTTGTGTGTGAGTGGAGCAGCCTGCCGGTGCCCTGAATTCAGGAAGGCTCCCCGGGTCCGGCCCCCTCAAGCGGGCAGTCAGGAAAAAGCTGGCTGGGAAGGGATGGCCTGGTCGGTCTTCCCGTTCCAGAGGACAAGGCTCTGCGGTGTTTGAAGGAGGTCGAGTGCGGCTAGAGGCCACCGCAGCGGGTCGAGGCGCTATGATGGCCGCCTCACCCTCCGCGGCCGGCGGCTTCACGGCCTCCGGCCTGTCGGTCAGGAAGAGCGAGGAAATAGCGGATTTGATAGATTTGTTTTCGAAGACACAGTACAGAGCGAAGGAAGTCACTCCTCGGGTAAGATACGGTGCTCAAGTCTGTCACGAAACGTCAGATTTCCCTACATTTACAGTGCTTTTATTCAAACACAGCTCTGTTTACCTCACGGGTTGTGTTGTTTACCATCAGTGATACAATCACAATAATCATAACAGGGAATGATAGATAGACATCCAAGAGTTTCATCAACCACCTCACTAATCCACTCAACATTTCTTTTCAAGTAAAATGGCCTAAATCTTTAAATGTTGTACAGCAACACATTGATTTAGTGAGACCTTACCGGTAAATCTAGAAAACTGATTCAAAGTTTGCCACAAATGGCTTCAAAACTTTTTTCTCTACTCATGTGTTGCTTATAGTAGAAGTGAATGTCTGGTTACTGACAAGATTCTGTTTTATCATTACAATAAAATGATCATCAAGCTACCAGTGATGAAGACACGTTGATCTGGAGACGTACATGTTACCTACACATCCCTACATGTCTGAGGATCAGTGTTCAGTGTACCAATGCAGTCTTAAGGGTTGGATTTGAACTGTGTGGCAACCAAACCGTAGCTTTCTTTAGACACTGATAATCTCAAAGCTTTTACATTATTCACTTTGGTCTTGAAGGAACCAATTACATGTTTTTCTTTTCCCCCCCCTCAGGTGGAGGCGATAGAGAAGCGTTGTCTGGAGTTGTTTGCCAGAGATTACAAGTACAGTGTCATCCATAACGCCAACGGAGAAGTGTGTGGCCACTACCCCCGCCAGATAGTTTTCCTGGAGTATGAATGCACAGATGTGGAGAGAGAGAGGTATTTCTGCACTTCTCAGTCAGTCAGTCCCACAGTTTTGTGATACAAAGTCCGTCCGGCTCGGTTACCAATTACCCTCTTGTTTTTGTGTGTCTGCGCTCACCGTGCACACCTCACTGTGGTGCATGGAGCAAAGGTGAGCCGGCGTCTCCAGCCCCCTCTGAACACATACAGGCAGCAGAGAGTGATATGTGATATGACTGTTCTGTCACATGAGGTTAAACTGTAGCTGGAAATAGGAAATAATACGCCGTGATTCAATAAATCCTTCTCTTTCACCGCTGATTAATGCAGCTGAGCTATTTTCCAGCGTATTCCTGGAAACAAAACACGTGCTTCGACTCCGGAGCAAAACCATACTTCACAACAAATGCTTCATGTTTTGTCGTATAAAGGCCTCATCTGGCAAATCCCTCTCGCGCACGCAAACCCGTTCTCCATTTCATGTAATGTTTGCAGTTTCCCATGGGCCAAGCTAATCAATTTGAAAACCACATTTCAGTGTTTCCTCGCGGCCCCAAAGTTGAGGTTTACTGAAAATGTATTAAAAATGAAACACGTGAGATGATCCCTGGAAGTCCCCTTCTGTCGAGGCGAACAGGCGCTAGATTTCCAAAACTGTGTTAAAAGTGGCAAATCTCTTCATCTTGAATCTCATGTTGGGAAGAGGAAGAAGTTACAGTCTGCCAAATTAGGCAAGTAGAGTGGGTTTGTAATCACAGTGCATTGATGTACCCACATGCCATCACAGCAAACTAGACACATTAAAAAAATCATATTATATATCCATTTGATAAACAAATGTTGCTGCATATTCCCCAACTCATGAGATGATCTGTTCTAAATCATTGTTAATTAAATATCATTGGATGTTAGCCTGTGAGAAAAGCAAACAGTTGTTGGAAAATGGGGTTAAAGCTATGCTGAGTTATTTTCAGATGGTTTATTTTATTATCATTCAGTCACAAAAACCTTCAGCTGATTTCACTCTTGATTGATTACCTTTGATGTTCAACGTGCCTCATCTAAACCTTTTTGACCCTTGAGCAGGCAGACAGTTCAGATATGTTAGTATGTCTAAGGATAGAATCAAACGTAAAGTTTTCTCATTTTATTGCCAAAGCTGAACATAACTGTCACTTACATGTGTGTAGATGAGAGCAGTTGATGATTTAGAGTCAGTAGTGTTTGCTTGTTTCTGTGAACTTTCACAGAGTGTCATTAACCCAAATTGCTTCAGATCAAATGAACTGGTCGTGTAGACTGATGTGGACACAATGTGGTGGTTTGTGCCTGCAGGTTTGAGAGCACAGTGCAGATCAGTAAGTTGCAGGACCTGGTGAACCGGAGCAAACTGGCTCGCTGCAGAGGGAGGTTCGTCTGTCCGGTCATCCTCTACAATGGCAAGGTATTTACTTTAAATATCCGTTACAGTCGTGAGCAAATGTTTACAGACGCTTGTAAAGGCAACGTATAGCGTGGGAGTCCTGAGTTCCCAGTGATTCTTCATTTTCTACGATGGAATAATGGAAACACATGCATCTTTGTCTCCAAAATCAATCATGCACTTTGGTTCTTTCATAGATTTATTATTGTGGAAATATGACAAAAGTCAAATATATAGACCCACAAAGGGCAGTGATACGGTCAGTGAAGAGACAGCTGTCACAGAGAGGGGAAGGGAGACGCCATATCATTTACATTTCTGGGTGTTCTGCTGCTAAAAAGTGCCACACATGGTCGGGTGACAAATGAAGAGAGCGAGCTAGAGTGCAGTCCTCTCTTCTCACCTCCACACAGCTGCTTACATGTCAGCTGTGGACTGTTGATTGGAAAATTACAGACAGCCAACCTCTAAGTAACTAAAAAGTTTGGAGGCGGAGGGGATTACCGAAGCTGTCTGACATGCAGTCTGGAGTAGAGCTGAACATTTTGGAAAACATATCACATTGCAATTTTTCTGGCAAATGTTTTGATTAGATGTGCAATACGATTTTGTAAAGTCCTGCTTCAGATATACCATCAGCTGCTCTGTATTCTAATGCAAAGTCGAGAACTTAAAGATATGAACTGCTTTGCTGTGACGGTGTTAAGTTAAATAAATACATACGAATAATAAAAAAAAAAACTATTCCAATAAGAAACTGATTGGACCTTTTTCTGTAAACAATCTGTCGATGAAATAGGTGAATCCTCAGGCAGGTTGTTATTACCCATGGCCAGACAACTGGTTAAAGCATATCCTAATATCATAAATTGCAGCCTTTGTGATTTGAATTGTTTAAAATTGCAGTTTTAATTTGAAATTAGACAGCTTGTAAGTCCTGCTTCAGACTGGCTGTTTCATCATTATGGAGCATTTAGCAGCTAAAGAATCAGATCTTTCCTTCAGGAGTTTGTAGAGACCAAATACGGAGCAAAAAGAGAGTCATTATTGGACAACAGGCGGTCAGAAACATCCATTTGGCTAAAAATAAAACATCTAATTCACCATGTTCACGTCATAAGTCTTCTCTGATGGCACAAGCGTTAGACACAACCAAGTCTTATGGAGTTGGCATTTCACCACTTTGCTGTAAAATCCACATCTTGCTATGATTGCTGCATAAAATGTGAAACTGAAACTCTTTCACTTCCTCTTAAAGATAGCAAAGCCTAGCTACCAGCAAAACATTGGTGTAATGATTATGACATGTCAGAAAGCTTTCTAAGACGTCTTGTGGCTGCTACTTCTTCCTTTCTGTGTTGCGGCTGAGCAGCTGACAGCATTAATTGGCGTAACAGCTTGTCAGCAGTCTGATTCGTTTCCTCCTCATTGCAGCATATATGCCGGTCATCCACTCTGGCAGGCTGGGGGGAGCTGTACGGACGCACGGGCTACAACTACATCTTCTCAGGTACTAAGCGCACAAACAGCAGCTTAAATTTAGGACAAATAGGGGAAGTTGTGCTCCACTGATTTTCCATGCTAAGTTTCAGTTCTGACCTGAGCAGCTGTCAGGTGACTGTCAGAATGTTCCTTCTGGGACTGAATGTTCCTTTAAATGACTGAGGGTTGGTTTTATTGAGAATCATACATGCATGTATATATAAACAAACGTGTTTTTCTGGCATGTGCAGAAGTATGATTATATATTACCAGCCCTTGTTCCTGACAGCTTTTTTTTTTCCCCCTCAGAAATGACTTACTTGGCCAATAGAGTTGGAGGGAAGAGCCCTTTTAAATATGAATGTTTACTGATTCATGTTTGAAGGAAATATAACCTCCCTGACAGGTCAACACAGCTCCTTTTTAGATGGCTGGGTAATGTGTCTGAAATGAACAATGTATGATTTGTGAAGTTAATGATCTGACCTCCACTCCTACTTTCTGCAGCAGCTGATCAAACATGGTGATCTTTACCTTCAGGGGCTCGGTCCTTAGAGGTAACAGAACCTCACGTGGTGCTGAAGTTTAGGCCAAGACATAATTAGTTGTTTCAAACTATATTGTTTCTAGTTTTAGACAAATTAACCTCATATTAAGTGTGACTTATTTTGCTCAATACATTTGAAAACATGAGGATTTCAGATTGTTGCTATCAGGCCTGATGCAGGAACAATCGGTGCCTGTTAATAAAATATTACTGTAGTTTCTGGACTCTACTTTTTTCACACGCTTTGAACACTGCGGTTTAAACAATGATGCAGCAGTTTATGGATTTTTACGATTTCAACGAATTTGCCTCAAGACGTACGACAACTAAAGAGAGACTGAGGAAGTGTGTGACCAAGTCATTCTGTTCAACTCCGACACTGAAGGCGACTTTAGTGGTTTTAGTGCAAGAGGAAAATGAAGATAGCGATCGATGACTTTTCCTGGTAGGCTGCTGGATGTTTTATTTTCTTAACCAGCCGTATTACAGGCGCTGTTTGGGGGGTTACCGGTACGTATTTGTGTATGTGTGTATTTTAAAGTTAGTGGATGCGGCTTATATTCAGGAGCACTCAGTAGTCTGGAAATTACGGTAATTAGCTTGCATCAAGCTAAGCAATGCCCAGAAGGTTGTAAACCCTCCCTTTGTTTCTGCATTTCTGAAATACTCATTGATCAGCAAGTTATGTCAAGTGGAGCAGCTTGTTGACCAAGTTAGTTTACATCACTTTTATTTATTTGGAAAATCTTCCACTTGAATGTGGAACTATTTTGCTGCTTTGAGTTCTTGCAGCCGTGAGCTTCACTTCTGTGGAGGTTTGCTTCACACTTATCTTTTCCCATTTGAATGTGTCTTGCAGGGGGCAGTGACGACACGTGGACGGAGTCGGAGGAGGTTCCAGAGGATGACAGTGCCGTCAGGTAATCAGACGCCTTCATTGGAGTCGTGTAAAATGAACCTCAGTGGGTTAAATCAGTATTTTCTCATCATCAGTGTGAGGCATCTGCACAGGGAAAGTCAATGTCTATGACAGAATTTCACTTTTATAACCTACATCTAAATGTTTCCTGTTTCTTCTTTCAGGAACGGGGACTCCCAGCTCTTTGACAAGGTTCGAGGCCACGACATTAAGCTACTACGTTACCTCTCGGTTCGCTACATCTGTGACCTGATGGTGGAGAACAAGAAGGTTAAGTTTGGCCTAAAGTAAGGAACAGCATGGACTAATTCATTCACACTCTGCCTGTTATCTAGGTCACTGTTTCCACTGGAGTTTGTTGGAAGAAAGCTTTTAGAAAGCATCTGATCTGACTTCTGACTATTCAAGTGTTTGATTGAGTTAGGATGGCGGGTAAATGCAGAACGCTGGTGATTATGTGTAGACTGAGGAGTCTGGAGATTTACTTTAACTTCATCCAGCTCTCTGTTTGCAGAGCGTGGTAATCACTGTCACATCATTCTGTGTATTTTAGGAGCTAATCCACTATAGTTGTTGATAGCAGCTGTTACGTGGTGCAGATGGCACCGCGCTATTTTCAGATACACATAACCACATAGTTTTGGCTGGAAATGTATATTGAACAATGAAAGGAGCAGGTAAGAGACCGGGGAAAACGAAGCAGAAGGCAAGAAGTGACACATCATTTTAATACTTAAAAGGCAGAAAACAGGAAGTGAACAGGGATGCTAAAAAACAGAAGCTTGACATAACTTATTACTGATGTGACCTTTTAATTATTAATTACAGGAATACAACAATTGCAAAGTGGGATCAGCTTTTTTACTCATAAATGGATCCAGAATTAGAAGTCGTATTTATTCTCCCCACAGAAAATACTGTGTGACCCACAGTATGCATCAGGCCAGGTCTTGCAGAGTTTTCCTCTTTGGGTGTGTTATAATGTTTTGGCTCTTTAGTCTATCTACTATATTGATGCACAGTATATATGTTCACCAGCTGAATTTATTGTGTAATCTGGGTGCCTTTTTGTAAGTTTGTAGTCATGGATTTCCTCTTTGTGTCTTTGTCTCCGCAGTGTGACGTCCTCTGAGAAGGTGGACAAGGCCCAACGCTATGCAGACTTCACCTTGCTCTCTGTGCCTTATCCAGGTGAACAGCAACCTTTGAGTTAGATAAGATTTTTAATTCAATACTAGCTTATGTCACATCCTACATTCAGGGAGCCAGATCAGATGACATCTAGCTCCTGTTTATATGGAGATTACAACAATGTGCCGATTGTTGGGAGAAGATGTCAAACTTTGTGCATCAGTTGTAGAACTTGCAGTTACATACTCTGTCCATTGGAGAGCGTTGACGTTTACACTGATAAAAGAATCCCACTCCTTTTTAACCAGATAACTCCCACAAAATTTCAGACCCCATCACAGTTTTCTGTGTGATAGGATTTAAAATTGATGCTTTGATTAAAACAGTCTGAATAATGTGATCAGATGTGCAGGGATTTTGACTTGAGTTTAGCTTCTAGGTTTGCATTCTTAAATTGGAGTAAGTGGAGAGATTTGAACTTATTCCAATTAAATCCTCAACATGGAGTGATGGAAAATAACTGACTTTACACAGAAAAAGTCCTAAATGACATAAAAATTGAAAATAAAAAAGGGGTGTGCCCGTCAGAAAATGTGTTTGGGGACAGGAATCTCTCATCACAAGTTAATTTCCATGTAGTTTGTCTATAGCAAGACCTCAGAATGATTTTAAAGTTAAAGTCCACCTGTGGCGTCGGCTTGTGGCTTCTGCGTCTAAATATGTGTTTTCTTCTGCCTCTGTCAGGATGTGAGTTTTTTAAAGACTACAAAGACAGAGACTACACAGCTGAGGGTCTGGTGTTCAACTGGAATCAGGTACAGCGTCTGTGCTCACACTCACATCGCTCTGTGAGCAGAACGTGGATCTGTTGTTGTAATCTGAACCCTCTGTGTCTCTGCTGACAGGACTATGTGGACGCTCCTTTGACAATCCCTGTATGCTTTACTCAGAACTTGAACATTGACTGGACTCAATACCAGGTATGTTCTTCTCTCTTTTGCTATTTGTGTCGTCTTCTCGTCTAAAGTTTTCTTTTTCATACGTCTCATTTTCTGTTTTTGTTGTTCTCTTGTCTTTCCTTCTCTTTTCTTTTCTATTCTTGTCATCTTCTTTTTGCTCACCTTTCCTTCTTCTTCCTTATTTTCATGTCTTTTATATTCTCTTGTGGTGGTCTCTTGTTTTCTTCTCTGTGCGTTGCAGCGGCTGTTTGTGGTCTTTCAGTGCCATCTGTTGTCCAGCCTGCAAAGTGCTTCTCTCGTGATTCATAAACACTTGAGCTGCTCACATACAGTCATAGTTACAGCGTGCAACCACCACTGCAAACCCACATCATGTTGTATTATTATCCACATCTGTGAAGCTGAATGCTGCCAAAATGATTGTGCAACTGTAAAAACCCCAAAAAACACAGATCTGGGTTTAAATATTTGATTTTGTTAAATGAAGAGCTCATGCAGTATTTACAGTACAATAGTGCCACACAGTGGGGTGGAGGACGATGTTAACATAAAGTATACGGGGACCTCTTTATTTCTCTGTTGTAAAGGCCGTTATATTTACTCAGCGTTTGTTTGTGTTGTTCAGTCGTGGGACCTGGTGGAGCAGACCCAGAACTACCTGAAGCTGCTTCTCCACATCATCAACAGTGATGGTAGGTTTCATACAGTCGGATGTTGGCTCGGTTAAGGATTGCGTCTTACGCTCAGTTGCAGCAAATGACTGATTTTCTTGTTCTTTTCTTTTGCTGCTTAATAATGTAGACAGTTCACTGTTGTTGTGTTGTCGGGGGCCACATCTTCCGATACCAAAGGGAAGCTGTAAAATGGTTTCTGCCTGGATCAGTCGTCAAAAAACTCAAATTACAGTCGTAGAAAATCTGATGATTATATTCATTCATTTGTGCAGAATCGTTTTGTCAGTTTAAAAAAACTAAATAAGTCATCACTGGTTTTATATTTAATGTGTGATTCTCATTTTTTAAAGCTTATTTTCTGGTATTCTGACCTCTGTTTCACTCTTGTGAGGACTGTATGGAATTGCCACCCTGATCATTACTATATGTGTTCTTACATCATTGTAATCAAACATTTATATTCTCTGGTTGCAGCATCTCCGTGTACAGATTTGCTGATTTGTTTTGTCCTGTGTGATCGTAAACTAAAAGATCTTTAACAGTTTGTACAGTTGGTGGGAATTAAGACATCATCTTGGGTTCTGGAAAACGGAAATTTGCATTTTTTAAAATAACACTGACATCTTAAACAGACTAATTGGTGATGAAAATTGCTGATCGTATCTCTACAAATGAACATGTGGCGCTTGTTTCTCTAAATTCATGCAATCAAGGCAATAACTACACTTACCCTCTGAGAAATTACACATTGGAGAATAAATTACTGACTCCACTATACAGTCAGCTGCTTTTTAATTCTGTAACGCGGACCATAAATGCTCTAGGGTGCATAGATGGATGTGAATACTGCATATGCGCCATATGAATCCATATATAAATCATCACGGCAACTAAACACGCTACAGAAATTGAATTTCATTTTCCAGTACCTTAATTATTGTCTTTATTTATACAGTATCTTAAAAAATTCCTCTCACGCATTCCCGTCCTGAAACATCCACGACTTGTGTTTAAAATCTATTTAAAGCGGAACTATTGAAACCGCCGTCAACAGTCGTTCAGATTTCTTTGTGTAATGTGGGTGTAGTGAGGAACACGGGGAACTATTAGCAGCTCTACAGCGCAGCGTTGGACAAAGCGCTTTCTCTTCCCTCATTGTTTAGGTTGTTTAGTCTTCTAGAAATGTCAGGTAGTTGTTTTGCACAACCTGTCCACAGCAGATACACAAAATTAGACGCTAGCTGGTGAACATTTAACAGCTAAACAATGAGAGTTGGACACCAAAACAGAGCTAAAGGGAGAGGAGATGGTCATGAATCCAGAAGGATGCAATTGCAGTTAATGGTATATCTTATCGTTATATTTATCTGGTTAATATATTCATGTTTATTTGCCTTCCACTGCCTTTAATTGGCCAAAATGAATCACAGATGCAGCTTTAAGAGAGCTCAGTGTGTTCACTTAGCGAGTCAAAGTGCACAACCTCATAAATGCTGGTGGTATTTGCAGTATTTTAGTGAAGTAGTGTTGTTTATATACTATGGATGGAGCCAAAGGTCTGAAAAGATTAACAGCCAGATGTTTGGATAGAGATCTATGAGAAAATGGTTTAAAAGTCTGTTGGTTTAATACAAGCGTCATGTTTGGTTTTTGCTGTAACTCTTAGAGGAGTGTTAATTCAACTATATAGTAATTCTGAAGGATGTTTACAATGATTAGTGTTTTTATTATTTATGTGAAACACAGTCGGCCAAATAGTGAAGAAAACACTTTTTGTATAATGTAATCAGCACCACAAACAATCATGGAGCTCAATCAGCACTTCTCCAAAGCAATTAAACCCAAAAATAGGTATTACAGGTTTCATTAAAGGAGGATTTGTTGTGGGGCTGTTGCATTAAACTGCATTGGTTCTAGCTGCATGTACCTAACAGAAAGCTAACTGAGTGAGTAATGCAGATTAGTTTGAACCTGTTTTCTGTAGTTTGTAGTTTATTAACACTGAGGGATGATTGAAGACTATGGTTCATGTTTTGTTCACACTTGCAATCTCCTGAATATGAAGTTTGTTCGTCACAGTCTTATAGTACCGTCTTTCCAATTTCTGTTTTCAGTTCAGTACTTTGCAACTCAAGAACTGCACTCATCCATCAAGTGCATATTACCAAAGACCTCTATGTGTTGGAAATTATATACCCCATCTATTCACAATGCACTTCTTATCCTTCAAAGAAGCACTTTAAAGTGTTGACCTTGATGCGTGTTGTTTCAGATGAGAGCGGTCTCCTGGTGCACTGCATATCAGGCTGGGACCGGACGCCTCTGTTCGTGTCCCTCCTCAGGATCTCCCTGTGGGCAGTGAGTTCTTCCTCCTCTATCTCCTTTATTCCCTCCTAGTGTCTCTCCACATGACAGCCGGCCACCCAGCAGCTCATTTGGCCCTTCAAACATTCATTAGTGACTCCAGTAATCCCGAGCTGGATCCGTCTGCCTCGGCCTCTCCGCCCTTCCCCGCTCATCCGTCTCCACATAAAACTCATTTACCATTTCAAACACGTGCTTTAATTACCCTCCTCTGTATTCACCACCTTTATTAAAAATAGAACTCCCATGTTATAAATATGCAAGACGTGGTCCACACTTAAAGCCTCTCATTAAAAAACAGGGTACACGTGAGGAGTTGCTTTCAAACAGAATAAGGAATCAGGTTTGGATGTATGTCAGCTGCGTGTCACCCTGTGGACGACTGACCTGTGGTGGTTTATTTAATACTAAAAAATACCAGCCCAGTAGTTGCTCAAACATGTGTCTGAGCTGAAAATAGGCTCAACATTGCTGGTTTTCTTTTAGTGTATGTTAGCGGAGAGCAACTGATGCTGCCCCTCGGACTAGCTTGTTACAGTATTGTTCATTTGTTTAGCCTTGTGTTCACAAGTTGTCGGTGACTTTAGTCAATAGGAACACAGATTGCTTTTGTGAGTACAGCAGGTTGGATGAACGGCGAATCCATAATTTGTTCTGGGTGTGACCCAAGGACAGGTCCAGTCATTACGTCTGCTTTTATCTGTAGGTTTTTGCAAACATAACACAGCCTGCAGTTCAGTCGAGACGTTCTCCTGAATTTTTGCAGTGTGACTGCAGATCATTAGCTGAGCACTGACGAATGCAAAATGATCCGTTTTAAATTAATTATTAAAAATGACACACGTGCAATGATGTGATTCTGAAATATCATAAATTAAAGCTCAGAGTTGGTTAGTTTTCCTGACAGAGCAGCACATGTGAGTCTGGCTCGGATTGATGATTTCATTTCTTGTTTTTGTTTTCTTCTTTAGACATAATTTGCCTTTTAATGTCCCCACTGGCTGGTTTTGCGGTTCAGAGGGTTCAAGACTGTAACTGAGTCACAGTGTCTGAACTGTAAAATGTGTACAATTTAACTTGGAAGTTTTTTGTTTTTTTTTAAATCTAACCAGTAGTTTAACCCTTTCAACACAAAGTATGTTTGCTTGAAATTCATCATCAGATATGGTTTTGATTAATCACTCATAAACTCTTAAGTAGACTTCACATCATTACATATCAATCAAAAGTAGACAAGTTGACGGTAGAATATATACAGAAGTTTACTCTTATTATATACATACAGGTGTGAAAGACAGAAAGAAGGCGATACAAGTGACGAGATTTGGGGGAGAACTTTGCAAAGTTAGTTAGTTGGCGGTGTGTCGTGTTAAACGGGAGTCAAAATGCCGGCCCGGTACAGCGGACTATCGTGTCGAAAGAGTTAAAAAAAAAAACTCAAAACCCCCCCACACACATTTTGGCTGCTGTTCCATCACTTTAAAAATGCATAGCCAGATAGTATAACTATTAGAACAAGTCTGTGGATAGAGACACTCTGACATCCTTTGATAATGGATGATAATGCTTCTATATATATTATTACTGAATGAGCCAAAATGAAACTTGAATGTAACATTAGAAAAGCGAGAGTAAAGAAAAAGCAATAACCCAGCTGCAAAGAATGTTTTTGGGATAACTTTGGATCAGTTGCTGCTGTTCGTTTTTAGAGGCAGTTTCCCTGCTACGTAAAAGTATTAAAAATCCTGTGATGTTATAACAACGGAGCTGTTTCCACTCATGATGCTCTCACTGACACATTTAAGAGGCTGGAACGTCCTCCATGATGGTGGAGGCAGAATGATTTTCAGGTCACGGAGGAGTGAGGACGGCACACTGATCTTCTTCTCAAACAAAGATGTTGTGTCGTCTGAACCCGACGTAACACGGAAGATGTTTAACTGGTCACGTGTTTTCTTCCAGGATGGTGCTGTTCACGCCAGCTTGGAGCCGGCCGAGATCCTGTATCTGACCATCGCCTACGACTGGTATCTCTTTGGGTAAAAATAATCATATCACTATCATAATTTCATGACCTGAGTGAGCTGTAACTCACAGCGCATTAGCCAGCATCAATACTTCAGAAGTGCGTTCGCAGCTCGTCGGTGCCACCGTGTTGTCTGTGACGCATAATTGAGAAGCGACCGGTTAATGAAGCGCTGGGAAGGAAAACACAGGACGAGCAGCACGACTCTGGCTTCGCTGTTTGACCGAGGCTTTCATCCTCTCACTCCCCGCCTGTTACACTCTCTCTCCTCCTCACACAAACTCCCTCTTGGGGGGTTTCTCCTTTCATAATTACCACCACTACCATCTTTCCAATTTGAGCTCATCAGAGGCAGTTTCGTGAAAAAGCCCCTTCACTGCCAGCTCGCTCATGTAATTATACAGCAGCAGACTTGCCCTTAGGATACTGGCCAAGCAAAAGTGTGTGTGTGAGTGTGTGTGAGAGAGAAGATCAGTGCAGAAAGTTGTGCAGCGTGATTGCCCAGAGGTGCTGTAGTTGTTCTAACTCACCTCATCATTCACAGCTGAATCATATTGGACCTCAGATTGTTTGCGCGGTAACAGATTGATTTTTCTTTCATGGTCGTAAACACTGCGAGCAGCATCCAAATACTCTGTTAAATGACTGTTTGGAGAGTTTAGTAGATTTTTGGACCAGCGCTTGTGCATTTTCTGAGCGGTTTGTTTTGATCTCGTCGTGTTAAATGGGAAAGAATAAAATTATGGCTTTATAATCCCCATCATGATCCCCAGGGTGGCTTTGATCAGATGGGTTGCCCTAATTACGAAAAATCCTTTTTCTAATTTAGTTCTGGTGGTTTCTAGATGTTTTGAACCTGTTTGAGTGATGAACTGAAGATAAGAGTTTCTCTGCTGGGGGGGCAACAATAAGCATCAGACCCTTTGGAACAACCTGGTATTCTGCATTAAGTCGCCCGACAATGTGATCCGATCTTTATCTGAGTCAGCTGAAGCGTGGACAAGCGTAATGTGCTTAAGATGATAACACATTCTAATCTTTATTGGTTTTTATTGAACCCAAACAGAGACGCTGGTAAATACACTCAGAGCTTTACAAAAGACTTCCTACAAAGCTGGCTGAAGAATGGTCCAGAAATCCCTCCTGAACATTGTGAACTCCTGTTTGAAGTTGTTTTATGAACGGTTCAAGTCTTAAAAGGGGGATTTTTATGCCTCTGATGACAGCCAGGAGCTGTGTTTTCAGGTTTTCCGTGATGAAGTGATCATATTTACTATCTAGAAGGTCAAACATGGATGGTGTAGAGGCCAATGCTTTATGGCACTGAGGGAACAGGAAAACTTAACTGACCTGCTATATTCCCTGTGTCTGATGAATTAAAGTCTTCTTGCTTTACGATGCACACAGTTTCTTTATTTGATATCCACGTTCTTCTCAAAGTGCATATTTCCAATCAGCACCAATGCATACGGTAACGTTCAGCGTGTTGCTCAGCGGTCAGAAACTGGTTCGTCTCCTTTCTGGTTGGAAACGCTGCTGAGACAGAATGGTTCCTACCTTATGTCGGTGACACTGACAATCAGCACACATCAACGTGAGACCCATTCACAGCACATCCAGAACAGCGTTTCCTGATCTGCTCCTACAGACAGAAATGGACTGTTTTTAGGTTAAAGTTATTACATGAATGTGGATCATTTGCTTTGTTTTGTTTGTCTTTTCTTTCTGCATAGCTTTATTGACATAAACAAGAAATAGCTGGAAAGAAATGTAATAGCATATGTGTGTTTGTTTCCAGTCACATGCTGCCAGATCGACTCTCCAAAGGGGAGGAGGTACGTCTGCTTTACACACAAACTTCAGCGCTCTATCGTCAAAGTGTCATCAAGCTGCACACACTCCCGTTATTAAATATGTTTGTATTAATTAAGATGCTGGCCTGTTGCTCTTAAACAGAATTGCACCCATTTCCATTTGGATGATTGCTCTGCTTTCTTCTCTGATCAAAACTTGTTCTCTCTCCCTCAGATTTTCTTTTTTTGCTTCAATTTTTTGAAGCACATTGTCTCAGAGAAGTTCTCTGCTGTTAAGAAACAGAGGTGAGTTCTTCCTTCACGCTGTCGTGTCACCGTGTGAATCCAGTATCCGCTGCTCTGTCCCATCTTTTGATGTCTGACGTTATTTCATTCTATCTTTTACTTTAGAAGGAAGAACTCCCACTTCAAAGACGGTGATTTCACTGTGGAAGACCTCTGCCAGTTAAGTAAGTCAGTGTGTCTGTTACATGTTAGAGGCTCTGACATGTCGCTCATCCAACCTACGCGTTTATTTTGTTTGGTTTATTGTGTTTTGTTGGAGCAGTACAAGTTGCATTATAATGTCATGTTGTGTAGCACCAGTCCACAGTCTGGACCTTTGTAATGAGATCATCTGTTGTGCAGTGTTGGTAAACTACTCGAGGACATCAAGGTCTGGAAAATGTCAAGAACTTTCAGCAAAGCAACAGCCTCAGAAATCACTAATTAACAGCAGCTCAGATTAAAGCGACATCAGTGCTTCCCAGAGTTCAAGCAGCAAACACATCAAAACATCAGCTGCTTGGAGGAGACTGTGTGAATCAGACCTTAGTGGTTCAACTGGTGCAAAGAAGTCACTGCTGAGGGAGTCTAGAAAGAAGAAGAGAACTACTGAAGCCTGGAAAGTCAGGGAACAAACATGAGATCAGTAGATGCGTAGAGTTTGAGGTGAACAGATGTTACCTGCATGTGTAGTTTCCACTGTGAAGCCTGGAGGAGGAGCTGTGATGATGTGAGTTTATACAGAATCCACTCAGCAGGGATCTACAACATCCTGTAGAGACCGACCATCTGGACTGGTTTGACCTTACTGGGACCATCATTAGTTTGCATGCTCTGTGAGGGCTGTTTAAAGGATGGAGCACTGCATCACGTCACCTGGCCTTTACAAATCATCCACCTAAAGCCAGCTGAGATAGCTGGGGATGAGCTAGATCCAACACTGTTTTGTGTATCGTTCCTTATGTGTTATTCTACAGTTTTGATGACTTTCATAGAACTCTTGAGTGAGTGGTTGCGTCCAAACGTTTGACTGCTCCTTTAGGTTTCCTCCTTTGTTGTTAAAGCTCAGCAGCCAACTGCTAACATGTTGATATAAGAACAGAGAGGAATGGAGTGGAGAAAAGAAATGCTCATCTGCCCTTTAAGAATGTGTTTTACGTTCATTGTTTGCAACGAGAAAAAAAAACTGTGTGAACTTTGTGAAGCAGCTATTTATGAGTTTAGAACATTTGTTTTGCCACTAACTTAAGTGTGTATAGTAAAAAACACATGACAGTGTATGTATAAACCCACACAAGGATAGAACATGAATGTTGTAAGTTAGGTCATATTTTGTTTATTGTGATAAAAATCTTAAGGGAATTGGAAAAAACAAAACATAGAATGCTCAAAAAAGCACTGAAAGTCTAGTATTTGCTCACCTCCACTGGTTTAACTTCCTGCTGTAGTGATGCACACGTGTGATGTTAGTTGTGATTATAGATGAAGTGCAGGACTTTTCTAACCCAAGTAACAGTAAAACCATCTACCAAACATGTGGTTTCCTTTTGAGTCTCATAGAAAAGTGTTGATTCTGTTCCTGTTGTCCTTCTAACTCACGGTGTCATCGTTACCGGTCGGTTTCTGGTGCTGTGCTGGAGCCAGCAGTGGGAGCTCCTGGTCTGATGCAATGAGGGAAAAACAAAGGTTGTGTTTCTGTGAAGCAAAGACTCAACAATAAGACTGTGGGAGATAACACAGGCTTTGATCTCTGTAGAAATGTGCAAGGTTTAAATCCAAAACGTGTTGCATCATAAACTTTTGTGTGCGGGCTCTTAACCCTCAGTGTTTGTCAGAGTTGATCAGTGTCAGAGGTGTAAATGGCTTTTTGTTATTTGAAGTGGTTGGTTCGGGCTGCTGCGTTCGTTGAGGAACTGCTGTGTTTGGTTTCAGAGTCCAGGGATCGTGGGAGTGTGACCAGTCTGAGCAGTGAGTTCTCCCTCATCACTGAGGAGGCGGGCGGCGCCTCCAGCCTCACCAATGACACTGTGGACCTGTTCTCCAGCCAACACCAGGCCTCCAGCTGGTCAGCATCACACATCAAACATCTATTCTTTGAAAGCATAATTAATGATGTGTTTTACTTACTTCTTTATATACATGCATGTTTGTCATTCTCATTCTGTTGGTGTCTTCAAGTTTGTGCATTTACATCAACAACAAACCCTAAATACACCCCACAGCTACATGCGCCTCACACCACAGTCACATGGACTCGATTGGCTGATTTTCACATGAATGGGTTCCTTGACACGGGCTGCCTTCACAAATCTGACCAGTGGTCTTATGAGGTGCACCAGCAAGTTGTTGCCATAGTGTTTCATGAAACATGTAAATAGATTATTGCCTGGAGCTCGTCCTTGTTGGCTTTCCACCCCAATTTGCAAACACGTCCACTTTTATTGACGTCAAAAGTGACGCCTCGCTGGGCAGGGACGGGTGAGGAAATGGTTTGGTGGAAGACGGCTGGTCTGAGTTGTCGTACCTTTTTATCTGCTGTCTGAAATTGGTGTCAGTGTTCAGGATGAAGAAAGAGCTTCTTTAAACAGGACTAAACATGAGAGTTTGTGTTGGTGGGGATGCCTGTGAATTGATGGGACATGATCCAAGAAACACTGCACAGCAGAAACTATTTTACATTTCACACCTCAGCAGAAGTTAATACAGCCGACAGCAGTGATCCTGTGTCCAGTCTAATCCACAAGTCCATGTGGGTACAAGGCTCTTGTACAGCCTTCCTGTTTAAATGTGGAATTCTTCAGAAAAAATGAAAACAGAACATAACAAGGAAGCAGTTCACAATAGAGAGTTTCCATTTAGCTACACACACATGTTGCTAACTTAACTGTCTGCTTCCACATTGCATCTTAACCCCTAAACGCACACCTTGAGTATTACTTAATTTTAAATAAACTAATCTAATCTAATTAGTGACCCAGGACTGTATTATGCCATGTCTAATTCATTCATTCCAACCAACTGAGTGCTCGGTTTCCTCAAGCAGCTTGACCTGCACGAGTGTGAAAACATCAGAAAAGGAAAAACAAACTTTCCATTTTCCAGTTTGACCTCATTATGATGTCGTCTCACTGTCACAGTGAATACATACAGACACAGTGATAAAATAGCCTGTTTGTAGGAGCTTATTAGCTCAGTAATGTGACAGTAGTGCAGCACCTGGGCGTCGGCTTTAGTGCAGAACAGCATTTTCTTTATTTGACCAGAGCATGAAAATGAGGAAGCATATCAGACAATATGTGGCGTTATATAAAATATAGATGTTCAGCTGCTGTGGCCACAGTTAAAGACAATTATTAGAATAACTACAAGCACTGATTAGTGATTAGTGTGCTAACTGAACAGCATTTGGTGGGAGTCACACTATGAGAAGTTACAACCGATCATGTGCAAGATAAAACAGTGGAAGCATAAAATCCATCAGTCTGCACAACAAAATTACATCAATTTATCAATTTAACACATCTTTCTGAATCTATACTAAGTGTTTAATACATTTCTGTGTGTTTTGTAAGTATTAAGGTGTAAGATTAAGATTACAGCAACCTGAGACAGGATGTTTAATGCTGCTATCAACAATGTGAATTTCTCCACTGTGAGATAAATAAAGGCATATCTTATCTTATCTTATCTTATCTTATCTTATCTTAGGAACGTTTTCTGACTGGTGCATTTTAAGGATATCAGGGATTTGGACTGATTTGGATCAATGTAACAGGAATTACACAGCAAACCATTTCAGTCAGTTTTCAGGAGGAACTTTCTATGACGATGATTAAATCAAACTTGAGTTCATCTGTTTTGGTAAACTTTCTCCACAAGCTGTCGACTCTGCGCTGTTGTTGTGTGGATGCTGACGTATCCTCCTCTCTCCTTCAGGAGAAAGGGCACCACCTCCTCTCCTCAGATGGTCATTTGGAACAAACAGAACCCTCTAGAGGAGCACCTCTCCCATCCCATCAACGAGGCCAGGTCTTCCAGTTCCTCCTCCTCCAACCAGTCGGAGCACGCCGCCACGCGCACTGGCAGCAGTCCGCTGGCCGTCCCTGGTAGAAGGTGAGGAGCTGATACCAGTTCAGACACTTCAAAGCTTGCGTGACGTCTTATTTTTATACACACACTTAACTTCAGTGTCCTAAATTTTGGATGATGGCCAGAGGCACCGCGCTTCAGCTCCCCTTCATTTTACCACCGAGCAGGTCAGCTGTGTACCAACAGAGCCTGTGGTCTGATCAGACATTATAAACACTGATGCATGTGGAGCAGTAAGCAGGCTACAGAGGAGCTAATATGACCTGCTGCTGGCCACGTTTGTCATTTTACACGGCCAAAGCATTGGTCAGTGCTACAGATAAACAAAAACCCCACTATTTATTGAACAGTTGTAAATGTAGTTGTGACAGATTAGTGAACTTTTAGCACAATATTCACTGTGTGCTTGATTTACAACATGATGGAGGATCAGCACAAGGCTCAATCAAAACTTAATTGCCACAGAGGGAAGATGGCACTAATTTATAAAACTTGAAGTGATTTGGTTGAACTATATCCTAAACTACAGCCTGTTGGATTGTTTCATGTTAAAGATGAATCCTTCAGCTCTAGTTAGCACCTGATTGATGCTGAGGTCTCTGATACGTCTCATAATGCTTCTGCTGTCTGTGGTCGGGGTTAACGGGCTGCTATGCTGCACATTGTGATGTCTGAGAGCAGGAGTCTGTGTCCGACCTCTTCTGTAATTGTCTAAAACAGACAAGTCTGTATTCTCCTTCACTCCCTGCTGCGATCAGGCAGCTGTGCAGAGATGAGAAAACTATGCTGGCTTTCTCTCTCTCAACATCAGTGTTTCATGTATTACACGGTTATTTCTGTTCTGTTTCATGCGAACAACAAAGCACGGCGCCATGGATCTGTTCCAAGATGGAGAATGTCTCCAAATCTGCTCTGTCATCCCTGTTTTTAAACGACTGTCTCCTCCTTGACAACGAGCCTCATCCTCACACTTCTGATTTGTGACTTGAGTGATGATCAAGTCAGACAACATGCCGTACAAACCAAGTCTTTTCTGGTGTGACACGGCCCTCGGGCCTGATGTTGGGCTACGATATGGCAGCTAGAGCTGAGACTGAGCATGTGTGCTGGTTGGGGTTGTGTTGATGCTCTTTGCTAGTGAGAAAGACAGGAACATAATAGCTCAGAGACTGCTGGAGCTTTGCTGATCTGTTTATTTGACCAACGTCTTGGTGAGTCCCAGATAAGTATGCAAAGGAATTTAAAGGTTTGGAGACGAATAGGCATCAGTGCTACAGATTTACTCCATCAACACACATCAGGACTGTGCGATGGTTAGCTTGTAGATGAATAGCTCTCAGGTTGCTTCTCCTTTACCTAAAACATTTCACAGACTGATTCTTTACCTTGTGAGGTAACGACATGGTGTTTGTTATCCAACCCTTAAGGGAAGTCTTGCAGCTTCGTGTTATGAGTGGTGCACATGATGCTTGTTAATAAGTGCTCTTCTCTCTTTGTTTTGCATCTGAAGTCTCTGTCTTATTATCCTTGTCCCCAGGTTAGCAGCAGACTACCCTCGGTCAGGCTCGTCCCTCTCCACAGACTACGGGAGTTGGCAGATAGTTTCTGGCTGTGGCAGCATCCACGACCACGCCCACTTCCCTCCACCTCTGGCCTCGGCCTCCTCCACCTCGTCTGCTGTCGCTGCTGCCTACGACTCCCCTCTGCCCTTCAGCTTTCAGGATGAAGGACCCAGCGGACGAATGTAAGTAATACTGGAACCTCTCGACTGTACTTTGGTAAAGACGACACCAGTTTGAGCCCAGTAGGGTTAAGGTATGGTCAGTGGTTTACCACCTCGTTATTGATCTTAAGGAAAATAAGATTCATGTTGTGATCGCTAAATTCTAAAGTGGAAAAGTTCTGTCAAATACGTTTGCTTTCCATACGGCGTCAGCGAGCTCGCACATCAGACTCTGACCAGTGGCGGTTTGTTCATGTTTACGTCTTACTGTGGTCCGATGGTGAAACCGTGCTGCCGTCTGCTAGCATGGCGGCTACTGGCAGCACACGAGGCCACAAGTGCAAGGAGTTGAGAAAAATAGTGAATCATTTTCATTTTTCTCAGTGGAAACTTCCTGTGTGCGGCACTAACTGACCTCCTACCCAGCTGTTGATCAGGGAATCCCTAAGATGTGTTGTACAATGAACCTTGGACGCACAGTTCTGCAGGACTGGGATGCAGTGGAGCACCATGTCAATGTGTTTGCGATGTCGTGAAGCCCGACTTTGCACCATATAGATGGAAATAAAAACGTACAGCAAGTACTCCTGACTAAGCTGCTAAAACAACGTGTCCACAAATTTATGGTTTGTCCTTCAAAAGCTCCCCAGCAGCCTTTTCAGAGATGCTCCAATCACCTGCTCATAGGAGTTTGGTTTTTGTCATGTACACATAAGCAAAATGTTGATCCCTAGAATTGACGGTTGCTGTCTGTTGTATCCCAAAAAGTAACGGCATGAATCAGATCTTCAGTGGTCAGAATGTTTTGGATCCCCTCAGTCGGTGTTCATTAAAACCATAAGAGCCGTCGTTGAGCAGAGATGGCTCCCTGTCAGCTTTCTGCTGCTGCCCTTTGTCCTCCCACTGATCTGAGCGATAGACTGCGAGAAGAATCAAGGGAGATGAGTTTCCACCGGGTTCCCCTCTGACTCGTCCTCCTACTCTCGGCTCCCAGCAGGGGACACATTTTAATTTCTGCTTGATCTGGCTGCCAAATTGAGTGTGTCCCGCCAGCATCACTCGCAGACAAGAAGGCAAATAACAGCCATGCATCTTTATTGGGAGAGAATGAGACGAGCCGGGATGATGGGAGAGAAGCAGAGCGACATGGTGAGGATGACTTGTGTGAGCTCTGTGATGCTTAATTTAAGAGTACATTGTGGCCCAAGTGGATTTGCTCCAAAATGCCTCGGCGTGCGTCATTCTGTTCTTCTCTGGCGGCGCCTTGCCAACTTTCATCTCCTTTCTTTTTTCTATGTGGAGGACTTTCAGTATAAGATTTCCCCCCCTGACCTTTTCCTTCCCGTCTTCTCATCTGGCCTCCCTCTTGCTTGCTTCCTTTCTCCTCTGCAGGTGTCCCTTCCCTTCTGAGCGTCAGGCCCGTCTGGAGGCGGTGCGGGAAGTCTTCCTGGCGGCCTACAGCTCCACCGTTGGTCTCAAGTCCTCGGCGCCCAGCCCCTCCGGCGCCATCACCGGCCTGCTGGAGCAGTTTGCCCGCGGGGTCGGCCTCCGTGGCACCAACGCCATCGTCTGAACCCTTTCAATGTGACTTTTGACCCTCTTCCTGCTTCCATCCATCCATCGTCGATTCAGCACATCTGGACTCAATAAAGTGCCAAACGCCTCTGTTCAGTTTCAGGGGTGAAGCATTAATTTTTTTTTCTTTTCTTCAGTTTCCTTTCATTTTACATGCCCTAGATTTTAATTTCTGTCCTCTGGGCTTTTAATTTTTCATGGAGAGTTCATTTATCACATTCAGGGACACAACTTGTCGCGTTATCAAAAAGGGATAGTGAACCGTACACGGTAGAGAAACATGGCGTCTGTACATGTTACAGTCAGAAATGAATTCTTCCTTCATCTTCTTCTGTTGTTTTTTTTTTTTTTTTAACATTTCTTCTTGCGGTGACCGTCCCATGTCCAGGAAGCAATATGAGTTTAGTTTTCTTGTTATATGCTGCTATTCTTCTTTAGTTCTGGTGGGCAGTGAAGGTGAGATAAACACAGCACTTAATGTGTTCTGACAGAAACGGATCCAAGCTTTCTTTTCTTTTAGATTCAGCGCAGTGCATTGAAACTCGATACCTAATCCATTCAGCTTTAAGCATGTAGGATCTAGACTTAAAGAGTCCGTCTGAGCGTTGGAAAGTCTATCCTAGATCAATACCTGCGTGCAGGGAACTCTTTGTGCAGTCGGGTTTACTGCTGGTATGATCTTTGTGGAGCGTCTGTCTGTGCTGGTTGTGAAGGGAAAAAAACAATCTGCAATCAGCCAAAGCTAACGCGAGAGCTTCAGTGGTTTCGATTAGCCGAACTGAGATGGTATCTTTGCTCTGGTAATTGCATATAGGTTTATTGTTGCTGTGTGTCCGTGGTATACTGTAGGAATTTAAGGATTTAGTTTTACTTGAAACAAACTTAAGTTGTGGTTGTACCTGTTGTGTAAAGTTACACTCAAGTACAGCAGAACCATAGAGTCATAGAGGGCTAGCTAGCTAGCTTGTCCAGGAACACTCTTGCTTTTTTAGGAATTTAATGGAAGGCTACAACTAAGAGGGTACCATCTTGGTTCGACTCACTGTGACTGCTGAAGTCTCAGATATTGGCTTTGGAGTTTTAGAAAGCGTTTTTGCACAGAAAAGCTTGGACCTTATTGTTTCTTCCAGTGTAATTGTTCTACAGAGTCCTTCACAGCCAGCGATGGACGGATTCCACAGAGCCTGTAGTGTGAGCGTAAGGTCGCCTTAAACAAACCATCCCAGTCCGGCCCTTTAACTCGGCAACCTTAAAGTTATTTTGCTAACGTTTCTTCAGTCTCTTCTTCATTTCCTTTAACGTTGTGAACAAACGAGATCTATCCGCGCTAACTCTTCATCTCGCCAGTCGCAGATGTCTCCATATCCTCTACTTGAGTCCATATCTCCTGTAGCACTGACGTGGTAGCACAAGAGACACTGAGCATCGTGGTAGCAAATCTGTGAACCGAAGGCCTTCTCAATGTCATTGGACTCCGTTGAAGGGAGGTCCACTTGATTCCTGCCAGTGTTGAGATTCCCGCCCAGCTAATATCAAACACTTTGTTCAAAGAAGACGTGTGCGCCTTCCTTCAGGTCACACGTGGACGGACAGCTCTACTCTGATTACTCTCGTGTAGATTCAGACTTTGAGGTTTTCTTTAAAACTAGCTTGTCGGTGTTGCCAAACTGTTTTGACAGCTGCTGTACCTCAGGACCTTTTGCTGTGCCTTTTTTTTTTTTTTTTTTACCTTCAGTAACACTGGATCAGATCTGTGGTCCAGCTTCAGGTGTATTTTCTGTTTCTTGTAAAAGGGGGAGGTTGGGGTTTCCATGCTGTTTGTGGGATGAACGTTTCCGACTGTAGAGTTTCAGCAGAGTTAGCTTTGCAGTAAAACTTTTTGGGGGGTTTTCACTTAATTACTCATTCAGTTGCAAGTCTTCGTTGATGTACAGGAACATAAAACTGTTGAGTCTTACAGACAGCCCCGTTAGGAGGTGTGCTGGGATATCAGTTTGTCATTTACACAAAGAGGCTTTCATTTCTGCGTTGGAACACGGTTGAAGAGGATTTTATTGTTTTAGAGGATCAGTCTAGTAAGAAACTTGGGAAGTGTGTTAATTTTAGAGTGAGATGAGAAGTTTGACACCAGTTTCATATCTCTGTGGTCAGTGCAGAGCGAGAGCCACGACTCATTTAGCCAAGATTAGCTTACAGTTTAGCTAGCTAGCTAGTTCAAAAGTATACATACCAACACATTGAAAGCTCTTGAATGACCATTAATTGGGATAAATGTTAATTGACGTATCTGGGTAATGAAAGAACGATAAAAAGGATTGTCTGAAACTTATGTGTTGGTACAGTGTCCTGATTAGCAAGTTTTTGTTTTGGTGCTAGCACTGTGCAACGTCTCGTACATCTCTAAGTATGACGAAGCAAACGTACAGTATGTGTTCAACATTTCTAATTTAGTCAGTTTTGGTATTTTTTAAACTGTGTCAGTTTTGTTTGGACTGTTTCCTCTTACTTTCAGTGTTTAAGCTAAGCTAAGCTAAGCTAAGCTAGGCTAACTCCATCCAGACTCCTGCTCTGTACTAAACGCACACAGACACAAGCTTTTCATTTCACTCTAACAAAGAAGACAAATCATTGCATTTCTCAGAATAATGTCTTGACCTGGCAGCGGTTTTATCTTCTGCTCGCCAAAATTTGCTTCTTTTTTTAAATCCCACAAAACACGTGCTAAGCTATTTGTTAAGTCACTTAAGTTCTCAAACACTTCTGTCTTGATGCAATAAGAAATGTGTATGTGTTCGGTTCATTTTTACACCACATGTCAGTCAACGTGGATCAGTATTGCACTTCCAGAACAGTTTTTTCAGGCACAGCTTCGTCTCCTTGTCAAATTTTAATCTTTCCTTTAAAGATATATTTTCTGAAGAGGAGATCTGTTTGTTTTTAGTTCATAGCATCGTTCCTCTTTCTCCGTCATCTCTCTGCTGCCTGCCTGTAGCTAATAAGCGGCCGATCACTGGATGCTCTCAGACAAACGTGTCATCAAAGGAAAAGAACGATTCAACCTCGGCTGACTTCAAACAGACACTTTTCCGACATGTTTTGCTCATTAGTTTTGCATGACGTCGTCCCATTCGATCTTAATTGTGGCAGATAAATGCTTTGTTTTGCAGTTTTGAACTCTTATTGAAATGCTGCATTGCACTTGTCCCCATGTCCTGTGTGAAGGGTTGTTCTTTGTACAGGTGGTGCATTTTTAAATAATTCTACCTTTTTTTTTCCCCTCTGTTGGTTATAAATTGCTCTGACTTGTTGGCAGGTGTCGGGCGACGGTGAACTGAGCTGCAGGTGGCAATTGTGAATAAAGGAATGAAAGCAACGCGCTTCCTTTTAATCTTCTTTCTTTCTTGTAACACGTGAATTTACTTTAGCCGATATTGTCGGCAGCTGTATCCTCGTGCTTTTGATTTATTCATCATCATCCATGTTGAGACGTATTAACTATTTACATCACATAATCTACTTCCCTTAGCGACTGAGCTGACATTAAGATTTTTTTTTCTTCTTCTTAACACAGATAAAACCTTTGAGTGCAGTCTGGCAAATCAGAACACGGCGTCAAATGTAATGTGGTTGCATAAAGCAGTTATATAACCCAATGTTTCAACTGTATTTAGCTTAATACGCGCTATTAATAGGACAATAGGTGATGAAATTCTCTAACTGGCCCTGTACGTTTACAGCGAGAGGTCAGGACGGTCCACGAGGTGACGCTTCAGCAGGCCACATGCTGGTAGGAACCACAAAATGTGAAGTTATCCCGTCACACAGCTGCTGACGGGCCGGAGTTCTGCTTAATGCTGAGTGAATGTGGATGAAGTGTGGAGATGATGTCTGGTCCTTGTAAGTGATTAATGATGCACTAGAGGAGTGAAAGGCTTCACGTTGGAGGTTTTATTTCCTGTGTTTAAACCTGGTAACACACCAGGGCTGTGTCCACCATCATCCACTGTTTCCCTGTTGTACAGTGAACTGTATGTAGGAAGCTTCACAGCAACAACTTCAGACTCTGCTTGCGTCTCTGATATTAATTCCATCTCTACTTATAACGTATCAGATCCATGCTGGCTGTAGCTGTGAAGCGACTGACATTTCTGTGATAGATCTGCTTATACTCAGCGTTTTTTTCCAAAATTAATGAATCAAAATAACTTTTTTCCTTCTTTTGTGTCGTGATAAACCGCTCTGCTTCTGTTAAACCTGTTAATCCATATTATTATTATTAATTTTAATATTTTGCGGCACAACTCATGGATTTGTTTCTGTAAGTTCGAGAAAAATACGTCTGAACTCCATAAACTTTGGCTTTAGCCTGTAAAATAGCAGCCAGAGGTCTGAAGAAATGCTCCTCCTCCCTACACTGTGCTTGTTTAGTGACCGACTGTAGACTTTACTTGGTGCGCTGCAGAATACTTTGAGTTCACTCAGTGAGGAGTCACTTCTGTAACTTAACATTCAGGCTGAACTACAACATGGAGAACACACTATACGGAGGGCAGCGACTGATTTTGGACACAGCTCAGGTCGTAATAAACTGGTGTTTTCTTGATTGCTCTGTAATAATCAGTCAAGATACATGAACCCTGTTCAGGACTTTGGGGGCCAGTTGGTTTAGGAGACAGGTTTTGTTTTTTCATTTTTTGTTTTTTTGTTTTTTCAGCAGAAGAGGGACATTTTTCATGCATTTGGAACCAAAAATTCTCATCAGAAAATGTATTTAACATAGTTTAAAAGCCTTTAACGGATACCAACAAATGTTTTGCTCATATTCGTTCTTGGGCTCCAGTGGACCCTGAAAGACCTTCTACGTACGGCAGCATGAAGTCCTGAACAGGGTTCAGTCGCTGTGTGGTAACTGGAGGATCCATTTGTTGTTACGCTTCAGAAGTCAGCACTGGGTTCTCTTTGGTGTCGCTGCACCTCTTCACCTGTATTAACTATTAACTCCTCATTCAGACTGTCTACAGAGGATTTTATAAGGTATAAGAATGTAAACTGTTCTGTGTTCTGACGTCTTTCCACCACAGCAGTGACCATCACTCAGCAGCTTTTCTGTTTGGTGTTCACTCTCCAAGCACATGAGTGAGTCCTCCATGGTCCTGTTTCCAGTCCAGCAGCAGCAACACCTTTCGTAAGTACCGACCATGACATGCTGCTAACACCCCATAATGCTCCCACCAGTCATCACACGTTGGTTCTTGTCAAAGTTGCTCAGATTCTTTCTCCTGCTCATTTTCTTTGCTTCCATCACGTCAGTTCCAGAGCTGACTGTTCGCTTGCGGCCTCACATGTCCCAGCCTGTGACAGGTGCCATTTAACACCATAATAAAGTGTCATCACTTCAGCAGTCAGTGGTTCTGATGTCGTGGCTGATCAACTGACTTGACATGTTCCTATAGTGGTAACATGACGGGTATGAAAAGCTGCTCCCTGTTTAATACAGAATTCAGTTTGTGTTCATCACTTTTAAATCTCTAACATGCTGTGGCTCAGCTCGACATGGATGAACTCTAAACACCCTGAGCTGCTGTTAAAGATCCACGGCTCAGGCTGAAGACTGAGGGACGCTGTGCTTTCACTGCTTCAGCCCCAGTTTGATAAAGGTTTAAAAAGCAACAACACTCATACAGAAAAGCATTTATTTAACTTCTTGTCTCTTCTCTGAAGCTCTGTTGTTGGTCTTCCTGTTTTATCTGATGTTTTGTGTATTTTAATGTTTTCTGAAGCACTTTGTGACTCCAGTTTTGAAAGTCGCTCTAGGAATCAACACAACTACTACTACTACTACTACTATCATTACTACTACTACTACTACTACTACTACTACTACTACTACTACTACTACTGTTGCCACTACTACTACTACTACTACTACTACTACTACTACTACTACTGTTACTACTACTACTGTTACTGCTACTACTGTTACTACTACTACTACTACTACTACTACTACTACTACTGTTGCTACTACTACTACTACCACTATCATTACTATGACTACTGTTATTACTAATACTAATACGACTCGTCCTCGTCGCAGCGACTGGCAGGCGGGTATGGCAGCTGAATGGATGGACAGAGCAATGATTCAGACGTGTCCTGACTTTGGGGTCTTGAGGCGCCGTTGGACAGCAGCAGCAGCAGCAGCCTTCCTCCGTTCACCACGCACAGCTTCCACAGTAAGTCGAATTGCAGAAGGCCTTTCCGAATCGAGCTTCTCCAGACCCGTCCGTCTGCCGCCTGTTGATCCCACTCATTTGGGTTCATTCTGCATTTCAACAATTTTCTTTGGAGCACCAGCTGATCTGGTACCGTGGGAGAGCAGTGAGTAGCATAGCTGGTTTGGTCGGCCATGGTCCGGTTCTGCAAGTGTGGCCGACCCGTCTGAGCCCACGATGAAGAATGATTGATTCTAGACTGTTAGTGCTACCATTACTGTTATTACTCTCAGTACTACTACAACTAATACTAATAACATTTTAGCCTTTATAGCTCCAGATCACACCAAACAAAAACAAAACAAAAAAACACCAGTCCAACCGAATACAAAGGTGAAAATATGTAAATAAACAAAGTCAAGTTATTTTTCATTGTAAAAAGTCACACAATAAAAATCTGGATGTAAAATAAGCTCACATTTGAACAAACTCATGAGACGGGAAAAAGTTGTTCCTGGAATCAATTTAGGGGAATTTCATGATGTCAAACACTGGGATTATGACATTATTATTCAATATTTTACGATTATAAATGGGATATTCTATAAAGCGGTATGACATTAAATTCATTATTTTTATTATCACTATTTTTACTAGTATTACTACTATTACTACTCTTATTACTAATATTGCTACTACTATTACTACTAGTATTACTGGAGGATGGATGGAGGATTCTAATTGGTAGAAAGAGCCTGAGGGGGAGGACTTTGGAAAGTAACATAAAAACTTCTATGTGCAGTAAGAAATTCAGCTACTCATGGCTGCTAACTCTGTTGTTTTGTCAAGAAGTGAGAGATCTTGATAATGTCTGTAGTTTGCACCATTATTATTATTATTATTACTATTATTATTATTATTATTAGTAGTAGTAGTAGTAGTTCTTTAATAGCCTCTTCCCACCTGCTGTTGCCCATCCACTACCTGCGCCACTTGTGGCACTAATCGCCCCCCATACCAGGACCACAAGTTGCGTCCAGACGCAGCTCAGAGAACTTGTGGAGGTCTCTGCCTCCACCTGGCGATGGATGGAGAGAAAAGGAAGCTTCAGGATCCACAGCTGTGCTCCGGTATCTCTCTCTCTCTCTCTCTCTCTCTCTCTCTCTCTCTCTCTCTCTCTCTCTCTCTCTCCATGAATGGAAGCCTCATCCTCAGGTATGCCGCCTTCTAACCCTCAGCTGCGCTCCAGCGACCGTCAGCATCCCCAACAACAACAACTGCTCCTGTCCCCGACACCGGCAGACTCTCTCTCTCTCTCTCTCTCCGGTTCCCGGGTGGATGGACCAGACCGGTTCTGTTCCGACAGAGACAGCAGCCCTGTAGAAGTGCGAACTTCAGCGATTGAGAAGAAGTGATTTACAGACGAGCAGCCTGAGCCATGGCGACAATAGGGGAATTTGACCCGCTCAACTCCACCGTACCTGCGACAAAGATAGAAATCACGGTTTCTTGCAGGTAAGCGCTCCTCTTGTCCAGCATTCAGCTTTCTGAGTTCACATAGTTTCACATTTCTGGACACTGAAGTCAGTTTTAGTCGTAATAACCGTTAAGGCGCGCTCTTTTCCTTGTGCGTAATTCTTGTGCGTTTTTTTTGTCTTTTGTCAGTTTTTGTGTGTCTTTAACGAGCGCGGACCAACTCTGCTCTTTTTTTCTTGTTTTTTGACTAAGGAGGAATTTGCATGTGCTGTGGGTGTAGAAGTGCGTGGGGGAGTGCAGTAACCAACAGTAGCAGGATTTATTCTGAGTGCCTTGGAGAGCTCCGGAGAGCGCAACTCTGAGATCACATGAATGCGTGGATATTAAATGTGCCAACTGACAATAAAGAGAAGACACAGAGAGGGATGTGAGCAGTGGTTGTTGTAATAAAAACCTGATGAGGAATCATCTAACGGCACTAAAACTCATTTTTTATAAGAATCTAATATTAGCACATGGAAACGGCTCCAACACACAAACACCATGTAGGGAGGATTAGCCATCTGAGGTTTATATAGTGATGAAATATATCAGTATTTGGTAGCAATTACGTTTTTTTTCTTTGTCATTGTAGCTGCAAATCAAGGAGTAATAATGATAAAAATGTAGGTGATGGAAGGTGGTCAAAGTTAGAAGTCAAAGAATAAGATCAAGTGAATAAAAAGGATAATATAAGATCAACTTGTTTTAATCCTGAGTAAATGTACACGTTACAGCAGCTGAATACAGACGAGGGATGAAGGGAGCAGGACGAAAAAGTCAAAAGTACAATGAGGATAAAAATAAAGACGTAATAAAGACAACGTACATGTTTCACATGAGGCCTGATGGATAATAAACCCAATAGCACTGCTCACATTTCTGTTATTGCAGCAAAATCTGTTGCTGATGAACATTAATCTGTGTTTAAGATTTCTACTGTCCATCTAATTCAGGGGGGTCCAGTTCTGGTCCTGGAGGGCCACAGTCCTGCATGTTGTAGATGTTTCCTGATTCAAATGATCAGGATGGTTATCAGGCTTCTGCAGAGCTTGATGATGAGCTGATCATTTGAATCAGAGGGAAACATCTAAAACATGCAGGACTGTGGCCCTCCAGGACCAGGACTGGACACCCCTGGTCTAATTCATGGAGCCATGTAGACTTGCTCTAGCCAAGGCTGGAGCAGGGCGGGTACTCCGGCCCCTAAAGGCCTCCAACAGCCTGCATTTATTCAACATCATTTCTGTCTTCTTAATCTGAACAATCACCAGTTTGTTGTAAATCTGCAGCTCCTCCGTCCTCCGATCCTCCAAACTTGTTTTTAAAGCCGACATTTTTCTGCTTCATATTGAGCTCATTTTTCTTAAAGTTTTACTCTGATTATTTTTTCTTCAGGCAGGTTTCTATTATTTGAATCACAGAAGTCCTGCACGGCTGCGACCGATGATTATTTTTAGTCTCCGCACTTCTGATGGTTGTTTTCTTAAATGACTGATCGATTGTTTTCTCTTTGCGACGTCAAACATCGGTGACAGATGTGCTTCATTATTCCTCAAGTTAGAATGTTCAACTGGTGGAAAATAATCACCTTGGAGGCCAACGACAGGTGATCAATAATCAGAATTCTTGCCAGTAATTAATGGTTTGGTCTCTGGTTGTCTGTGGACAGAATGAAACCGACATGTGGGCGTCGTCATCATCTCCCTCACTGGAGCTTTGGTCCACTCATGGTTACATCCCTCATTTAAAGGATTTAGATTAAGATTAGATTTTTAAAAACTGGACATAAAACAGTTAAATTTGACTACTTGTTCTTCTTAGAAGCTGAATACCGGAGGACAGGCCGAAGCTTTACATCCACGTGTTCTACAAATGTGCAGCATTTAACTAAAGTGAATGAAATAGTTCCTTTATCTGGTAAATTTGTGTTCTATGTGGATGTTTGCTTCATTAATAATGGATTTCATGCTTGAATCTCTTTCATATTGTGAGTTTGACACTCGACTGATGGGACAAAACCAAAATTTAACATTTTTATTAGTGAAGCATGACATTAACATTTCTGGCCGATACCGATATCCGATGTTAGGATTTCTGATGTTACAGAAAACCGATATTACCGATGTCGATATTAAAGTTTTGTGAGCTCTGTGAAAACTATTGAAAAGAAGCCCAAATTAGACAGCTTAGTCCTCTTTATTATGTAACAAAAGTAAAACATATTTAAACATATTTTAAACTATTTAATGCTTCAGTCCAGGACAGTTTAAGTAAAAACATCTGTGAAATAGCAGCAAATCAAACGTACAGACGAAGGCGCTGATGTTAGACAATCATCAGTTTTTCACATCGGCTAAATTTTTTTATACCAATATATGGGAAAAAATATTAATATTGGCTGATTCCAATGTGGTCGCTTATATATCATGCATTCCTAATTTTTACTGAATCAGAATTTCCCTGTGAGAAATGAGCTGTTGGTCACAAACTGCTTGGATGGATTAATGATCTCTGTGTGTCTGTGCTCTTCACATTATTTCTGTATTTACTAGTTCACAGCTAAAAATGTAGAAAATATTGATTTCACTGACAAGTTCAAGAGTGTCTGAACATCTTTTACTCTATTGTTTTGGTCTTAAAGCCGGTCTCACTGCTCTCGTTCACTTGGTTTCTTTGAGCAGTTTTGCAAAACAGAATGATGTGAAACTGCATCCAGATGTTCAGAACTGGCCTCCATACAGGCTCAATGCTGTAAATGCAGCCAAAGATGCATTTACTAAATACTGATTGGAGGAGAATGAATATTTATGATGCAATCGCTTAATTTACATTTTCTATTTTTCATCACCTGACATGACTTTACTGAAATCTATTTTCACTTTGACATGAAAGAGTCTTTTTTTCGGTAAATTCCTGTCAAAAAAAAAGAGATCTTGTTCTATGATCATGAGTTAATATTAAAAGCAACAAAAGGGGAAACTTTCAAAGGGCTGAGAGCCTCTTATAGGATCTATAAACTCACTGTAGACTGTTTGTTAGCACCAGACTGTAAGCAGCTTGTGACCACAGTGCAGTATTGGTCTCCTAAATAGGTCACCATAGGAAGTGGTGGAGAACAAAATGGAGCTACAAACACAGTGAATGTCGGCGCGTTGCCAATAAGCACGACTCCAAATGGATGCTAACGGTTTTGATGTTGCTTTGTGTTTGCTGGATGTGTAAATAGTAATAGTTAGCTAGCAATATTGTTTGCTAACAATAATGAATGCAGCTTTAAAGTTGTAGTAATGCTGTTAATGTTTGATGCTGTTCCAGTGTTCTTTATGCCCCCAAGTGGCAAAAACAAGAGTTAATGCTTCTTTAATTTTAAATCTAAGTAGCGGAGCTGCAGCCAGCAGAACTCCAGATACAGAACTGGAAAACAGAGCCCATGCATCAGAGAAAAGCATTTCCATGTCCTGGCTGATGTCTATATGCTAATAGAGGCTTGAAGCTGCTGATTGTGACAAGCTGTTCGTGGACCTCAGTGTCCCGGGCCTCAGCAGTCCACAGAGGTTAGGGAGGAGCTGTCCCGGCTCCCTGACACTGACAGAATAAGGTTGGCTCAGTGGGCCACGGACGAATCCTGGCTGCAGATCAAGCAGACATTGGCTGTGAATGCAGGGCAGGAGGAGGAGTCAGGAGGAGGACTCTGGGCTTTCTGAAGGCTGACCTTTCTCTGGAGAAAAAATGGAAGAAACCTTTAGCTGTGGAGCTAAATCGGATCGGGTTGTTGATAATTCTGCTCAACCTTAATGACCCAACAAGCGTACAAGATGCGGTGACTCGTTATTTTAATGATGGCTGCCTTCTATCCAGGAGGGTCAGCTTCAGCTTCCACAGTGAAGTACCGACCCGCTGAGAAGTCCGTTTAGCAAAGACACAACAGTGAGTCAACACGGCCCGCTATAACCTCTGGGCCATTTGACCCGGTGTTGGTATTATTTTTACAATACTGTTGGGTCTAAAACAGCTTCTCATCTTGGGAGGTTTTCTACTTGTGGGTATTTTAACCCAACGTTATATTGATCCAATCAATGATGAGTCGCTGTGCACGCTGACCTGAGTGTGGATCACTTTTATTGCATCTGTAAGCATTTGTTGATGATGAACTGGTACGAAAAAATAGTTTTACATGTCATAGAATAATTATTCCTTAAAGGTCATATAATGTCTGATACTTTGGTGTCAAACTTTGTGGTTTATTGTGGAAGTCTGCCCCCTGGAGGCCAACAGGTTAACGTCTGAGTCCTGGTTGGTTTGGTTATTGTCATGATACTGGATCTGGTGCTTCATTTAAACTCACCAATCTACAGCAAACACACCAGGAGCAGCCTCTTTGTCTGAAGTTCTATATCTGCTGAAGTCAGTGTTTGTCTTCATCCAGTGTTTGTGGAGCAGCTTCACCTGCCTCCAACAGTTCTCCCCTTTATTACTTTTCTACCTGAGCTCAGCCGACAGACTCCATAGTAACAACCAACAGCATCATTTAACCAGTGAAACCTGTGGTCACCTGTGGATACTCAGTCTCTACAATACAGAGGACCACGTGGTCCTTCGTTAATTGCTAATTAGCTGTTAGAACCAGTTAAAGTTCCCTGTGAGCCAAATGATCTCAAAACAAATGCAAACCAATTGATTTCCTTTTTATTCACAACACCTACATTCTTGAATTTTTACTTTGCTTTGGCTTCCTGGATGATCATTTTTACTTCACGTGGACACTTGCAAACACGCAGATGCAGAATCCATTAGCTGGCATTTTACTGCACCTTCAAATTAATGGTAAAAAACAAAGCAACGGAGGAGTGACACACCATTAGTCTGGCACACCAGAGTGTTCCACGGTTTGCCACAGGTTTGGATTGTGCCCTGTGGGGTTTATTTTTCTTTTTTTTGGCAAATTGTTCATTTTAATGGCAGTTCTCGCTTCCCTGTTCCACCCAAACATCAGCCCT